GTAATTGAGATTTTTTTATGGGTGACAAAGTCAACACTTTCCACATTGAGTTGTAACTCGTTTAGGACCCATCAGGGCACATGATTATGGAGCACCGAAAATTGCGTGAACAGTATTCTGTAGATGCTCACCTGGTAGCCGTTTTGACTTTACGCATGACGTGCACTTGCGATGAGACCTTCACTGGTTCAGGACTGGCAGCAAGCGCACGCTGCGCAATCACAGAGGATGCTACCTGAACCAATCTCAATTCTTTACTAATTGCTTACTAAGAGAAACTAAAAAGTGAGAACATATCATAGAAGGACTGGAACAAATAAATTTTTGAATTAAGTGCACTTGCCTTTTTGTTGCGCTCTTCAAGTTCGTGCTCAAATTCGTCGTCCGACCAAGTTCGTGAACGTGAGCGAGAACGTGACCTACGCTCCTTCGTTCTCCGTGTAGGTCGGGCGGTCTCACGACTTCGGCTTACTTCTGATCGGGATTTCAACCTTAAAATGAATAACTAATGAAATATCAAAAGAGAACAATAACAAGACATACTTCTCTTGTTCACGAATTTTCTCTTGACGTTCAGCTTCTTTAGCTCGTTGCTCTGCTTCTCTAGCCCTTTCTTCGCGTTCTTTTTCTTTAGCTTTCTCTATTTGCCGAATCTTCTCCATTTCCTTCTCTTTCTCTCGTTCTCTTTCTCTTTCACGCTCCTTCTCCTTTTCAGCTTCACGCTTCTTCGATTCCGACTCGGCATGACGGTGTGAAGATGACTGCGTCTTAGCTTCTATAAATGAAGAAAATAGTATACACGAAGTGTGAGATCTACCTACAAATCTAAGTACTCCAGTTCCTACGAAGAACTTGCGAATTATGTTAAAGGGACCACTTCAAGAGCTTTTTTTTTAATTCGAGCAGGTATTCCAAAATTTCAACAAAAAACTACACTTGGACCTACGTTAGAGGCACTTTCAGACGCAAAATAATATGAGAGACTTCCACAAAATTCTCTGCTGCAACACATGTGACTGGAAATTTGGCACCATCCCATTCAAATGCCCCCTTTAGTGAAATTGAATGTTTTTCTAGAAAGTGTTTTCAAATAAAGGTAAAGGTAGGAGGTGAATAAATAAATATAAAGATGTAGTGGGAGCGTTCTCGTCGTTAAATTTGGACGGCAACTTGTCTTTAAAGGTAATCTGACCAGCAGGACACCTATTCCACATCCAAGTTACACGAAAAGTGCCGGCTGCTACCAGAGACGGCAACGTCAAAAGTCGCCAAGACTCTTGATTCACCCAAGTTGCTGAGCACTTGCCAAAAAGAGTAATTTGATCCGAAGAGCACGTGTGCGCACCCACGTGTCAAAGCTTCAATTCGCGTCACCGCTAGCGCCAAAAACGTGGTAACGTCAATGCTTGTGATGTCAAGCGCTCTCACTAAACGAATGCGACATGCGCTCTATGGATCATGCTTTCCCGGAGCCAAATTTGTATAGATAGTTAATAAGGAAGGCAAATTCGGGGAAAAACCACCCAAAATTGATGAATGGAACAGCAAAGAATAAATAGTGCAATTGGAATAAGCGTTCATCGTTTCATACAAAGTCTCACCTCTTCGGTCGTCTCGCTTCGAAGTGCCCACATGTGAGACAGATTCCACATCCTTTCTGCGATCTTTCTCCTTGGCGCTTTCCTGTAAGCTCACCTTTGCCTTCGCTTATCTATTTACACGTGTAATCAGTTCAGAGCGCAATAGCTAAATTCATTACCTTGCTAGGCTTTTCAACACCTGACTGGCTATCAGATTTGCTTGCGACGGTTTGTAGCCTTTCGAAGAGATCAAAAAGCCTTAAAATAAAAATTTCCCGTGTCTCTCTGGTGGCCATTCTCCTTTGGTTGACTACTTTAGCTAGGCTTGAAATTATAAATGCAGCAGTCCGAAAACCGCTGCTTGGCTTATTGTGGCTCGGGGGGGGGCACTCTATAAAAAGTCCTCTGGACTGGGCTGGGCTAAACAGCAGGGACGAACTCCGGAGAATACGAAAATTGCTTCCGTACACCGGAGTTCCTCTCCTCTTCAAAAGCTTAGTCCTGAAACGGAGCGTTTCCGTGATTTTGACGCGATGTTGCGTGGTGCCCCCCCGAGCCACATTGCGCTCGCAGCTTTTTGAGGCCAGTTCCTCTGCTCCTCATTCTTACTTTCCCTTTTTCAAGGTACTTTTGAAAGTCTTTTTATCATGTAACTACAGCATAGAGTGTCATGTGTATACTACAAGGCAAGTTTTAAAGAGCGCTGCAATGTAGCTACGTTTTAATAGGCACAAGCAGGAACGAACACTAACCAATCCACGAATTTATTCGTGCATTTTCCCAAAAATAAATTAAGATCGTCCTTCATTTGATTTTTCTCCTTCTTGTTCGCTATCATGACCATTATATATTCGGGAAGCTCATCATCAACATAGACACCCAGCTCCTCCAATTTCGCTTTTATCGCAGCCTAAACTCATGATAATGTGGATAGTACACTGAAAACGAAAACAATGCACAAACCTTGAGCTTCTTGGAAACATCTACGCCCTGCCCAACAGCCATAGTAGTATCCGCCTGTAAAGCGAAGATGTGGGTAACGATGCACGGTTGGACAAAGAAGAAAGACAGATGGTACGCATTACGGCAACCCAAATTAT